AGCCGAGCGTACCTGGATGCGCCGGATGACGGCGTGGTGCATCCTGCACATGTCGGCCAGGGACGGGCTCTCCATCAGGATCTCCACAGCCTGGATGGGGCCTGCCGGGCTGAGGTCGTTCATGGCCACCTGCAACAGCGAGCACATCCTCACTGCAGGGGAGGGGGCGAGGGCGGCCCCAGGACCCCCCGCCGTGGGCACAGGGCCCCCCAAGGGGCTCTCCTCCCCTGTCCCTACTCCCTGCACTCCCCAACCCATTTGTTCTCCAGCCCGGTACAGGCAAATGCAGCAGAGATGCTGCCAGGGTGCATCAGAGCACTTGCCCAGCCCCTCTGAGGGGGATTTGCCCCCGGCCTGGCCCCGGTAGCCATCAGGACCTTCAGCCCCAGCTGGTAGCGCTGGCACAGGCAGGTACCGCAGCCGGGAGAGCGGCCACTAGTCTCGCCCGGTGCTGCTGGGGGTGAGCGGATGCCTGTTCCCTGGTGAGACGCAGGCTGCCACCCCAGCGGATTTAATCCGGCCAGCTCAGCCCAAGGAGAATTAACGCTGTCACTAATCACACTGGCAATATTAGGGCTTTCAAGCGTGAATCAACCTGAGCCAGGTCATTGCCAGCACACGCCTGTGCGCCCCTCGGCACGGGGTCAACCAGCCCCGCTGGGAGAGCTGGGCAGCAATTATTATTTTTCCTTTGCGCTTAGAGGGAGATTTTTTGCATCAAAGGAGGATGAGCTGCAGCAGATCAGGTTTACACCCCCAATCCAGCCACGTTTTCCCCTTGCTTTGCAGAGCCAGCAAAGCGCAGCCAAACAGGCAGGGAAAGCCCATTTTTTCCCACAGCCAAGCCCGACACCAGGTCGGGGCACAAGGAGCGTCCGAGGTTAGTGCATCTTGGCAGGCTGGGCATGAGGTGGGCAGGAGCAGGAGCCACACTGCTCCAGTTGGAAAGGTCGCAGCAAAGGGCACCCACAGGGACCCCACGGGCCAGCGAAGGGATGCTGGGAGGGGAGGGGGCGTCTGCCTTCGCCCTCACAAGGCCAACCTGTCACACAGGGACACCGCAGCAGCCCACTGCCCTGCCCGGCAGGGAAATGGGAACGTCTGGGGGACACACACCCACCCAGAGAGGGAGGGAAGTGGCTACAGCCTTTGGAAAGCCCAGGGTGGGGACAAGGGGGACTGGCAACACAGCCCGTCCAGCCAAGCACACAGGCCCCAGCCCCACAGCACAGGCGGTGAGCAGGCTCCATGCAGCACCCGGGCGTCCCTGGACCCACAGCCGACAAGGGTTCAGCACGGCAAGGCCATACGGCACCCAGCTCCCCGGCACAAGCGAGGGGCTGCGGGATGGAGCTGACTCCGAGGGATGGGGGCGCAGGGAGGTTTTTTTTTTCTCTGCAGGGCTAACCCATTCCTTGCCTCTCGGACAAGCAGCTGCACCTCGCCTCCGTCTGGTGCCGTGCCGCGCACCGATGCCACCTCCTCACTGCTTAGCGCTTCGGCCCCGGCGTTCTCAGCCAGCAGCCAGCGCAGCGTGGCACAGCTCAGCGGGACATCTGGGGACGAAAGGACAG